TGTTAAAACCAAAACTGATCTGATTGCCTTGTAGCATAGCATGCACCCTTCCTCCATGGCTAAGGAATATTTTGGGGGACCTGATATGGTGCCTTATGCCTGTAATCCCAGCAACTCAGGAGGCTAAGACAGGAGGATCACAAGTTCAAGGTCAGCCTCAGTAATTTAGTGAAACTCTAAGTAATTTAGCGAGATCTTGTCTCAAAAAAGGAAACTAAAAGGACTGTAGATGTAGCTAAGTGGTAAAGAATCTCTGGGTTTAATCCCCCGTACAAAAAGAAAAACGAATATTTTTTGTCTGTATACTTAAGAATCATTACATTCAAGCTTTATAAAATAAAGTTACATATTTTTATTTTTCAACAAAGACCTCCTCCCAGATGTTCTGATTTGTCTCAGTGCTAATCTCAGACTCATCAAAACTAATTTCTCCCTATGACAATAATCCATGATGAATCAATCACATTGTCTTGTCTATTCTTCCTTCATGATATACTTCGAAATAACTGTTTTGAGCAGTAACTATTTGAAAAAAATGGCTAAAATTTTAAGCTGCGTTAGCTCTTAACTTCTATTAAGGTCAAAAAGGAGAAATTGGAGGCCAGACTGATAACCACTATGTTCCCTAAAATTCTTAAAATGCTTATAGGGTTCAATCCTCAATGCATGCCCTAATCTTTTCATCTCACATCTGGACCCTGGTACAATTGTAGATGGTCCTCCAATTACCATGGGGTTCCATAAATCCATTTTAAGTCCAAAGTGTCATAAGTTTAAAATGCATTTAACACATCTAACCTACCAAGTATCATTTTTTTTTTTAAGCCACATAGTACACTGTAGAATATCTGTCATTTCCCCTTGTGGTCTTATGGCTGACTGGGAGCTGTGGCTCACTGCCACCGCCCAATATCACAAGAGAGCATTGTACTACATTTTGCCAGCCTGGGAAAAGGTCAAAATTCAAAGTACACTTTCTACTGAATGTGTGTTGCTTTCACACCATTAGAAAGCCAAATAATCATGTTGAATTATTGTAAGCCAGGGACCATCTGTACATCTTGACTCTTTTACTTATCCAGAATGGTTATCTTTCATCATATCCTTTGCCTTCATAAGCATCATCTTCCAAAAAGCCCACCTTCACCATGCCAAACCTGGGCGTAATGTATTCTAGAGATTCTCACATCTGATGTGAGAAAGTTCAAACACCATAAATACTGGCTTCAGTACTCTGGCATTTGTCCGGGATCAATCCTTTTATTTTTATCACCTACCCCTCTGTCACATAAATTCCCAAATTCCAATCAAAATGGGTTACCAAAACTTCCCTGTGTGTGACATTCCTATCGCCATGCCTTGATCACTTAGAATGGCGTCTTCTGATTGGCTCAGCTATTTGCATTCCATCTATTCCCCACAACCCAACTCAGATTGCACCTCTTTTGTGCCCCCTCCATTAAACCATCTACAGTGCATTCTCTGCACCCATTACCCTGTTCACAGCAGGGTCTAACATTTACTATCAATACCATTCACTGAATATCAATACTGAATATTGCATAATATTCAGTATTATTTACTTTTGATTTATTGTAGTATGTCTCTGGTCTGTTTCTAAAATGATAATGAGAAGGTTTAGTGTCGAGATCTAATAAAACAATATGCCAGTTATAAAAGAAAGTGAAAATACAAAATGTGGAAGAGGGTAACCTGGGTTAATCAAATTTCAAATCTAGCTATGTCAAGGCAAAACTAAAGGACCCATTGTTATTTGGCAGAGACTTATCATTGTGATTGGGAGTATCATTTCACTAACTGTGATAACTGCGATTGTTGGGCTTTATTTTAGGAATCATGTAGCAAAGCATATACTCTAGATTCCATAAGATAGCCTAACAGTTTGATGAATAAATTTATTGATGATTAATGTGACATCAGAATCATCAACTTGAAGCCATTTTCTTTACTTAGAAATTCCAAATAAGTACATAATGAATACAGAAAAGAAAATGTGAACATAAAACAAAAACAAAAACAAAACCCAGAAATCTCAGGAAGAGAATGAAATCTCTGAGATTGTTCCCACTTCAATCAGTGGAAATTTAAGAAAATATTCACAATCACAATATTTTTGGATAAATGTTTGTATATCATACTGTGGAGCAGCAAACTTAGAAGATAAAATAATTTTATTGGAAATAAATTGTACTCTTTAATTTCTAGCAGATAAATAAATAAATTGTTCATTTAATTTCTAGCACCTTCTTGAAATACAAACTTACAGCATTCACAAGTTTTTTTTTTTTCTTCCTAAATAGTTGTTTTACGGGACTGAACGAATATGTACAGAACACAATGTTGTTCTTTATATTTTATATCGGGTTTCATTTCTTCTATATCTAGAGTTGTTACTTCGTAGTATGGGGACATTTTAAAAATGTATGTTACACTCTAGTAGGACACACTATCCAATAGAGTTTTCTGTGGTGAATGACATGTTATACATCTTGTGACCAACTGATAGAGAAATGTAATACATCCATGCTTCTATACTCACAAACTGAGCCCTTGAAATATACCTAGTATGACTGAGGAACTGAATTTTACATTTCACTTAATATTAATATGTGAAATTCAAATTGAAATAGCCATAGTGACTGGTAACTACCTTATTGGATAGACCAGTTTTTATAGGCTGTTTGCTTCTAGAACAGAACTTTCCTTACTTGGTTGGTACTTTTAATAGTAGATTCCACCAATACTGTCTCTTTATCATTGTGTGAGGCTATGAACTACCATTTATTCATGGTAAAGTTTTAGATGTCTTTATAATTAAGAATAATTATTTATTATTTAAGAAATTGATGTCAAAAGTAAAATTTAGGGAAATGTATTATTTACCATCATGGTAACAGGGAGAGGATCTTCCCTATTTTATCATTACATTTGAGCTTGGACTCAAAGATAAAACTTTATAAAACATAAGTCTTCATAAGTATAGGTAGGTCCCCTTCCACCACCCACTGTTTGGGCCTAGTTTACATCTGTGGCCTCTGTATCTCTGCAGGGCATTCTCTGAAGTCAATCCTTCTAGGTGGGGCATCTGAGTTAGTGATCCTGCCAAATTCTTCTCAAGGTAGATTTTTCTTGTCTGACTTTCTTGTTTTGCTCTTAGCTCTATGAGCAAGTGGGCAGGGTTTGGTTTCTTTAGGCCAGCAGGAGCTTGCTTTAGCTCTTCTTTTAATTTCTTTAATTTGAGGATCTCCACACTTACTTTTTGAAATGCTGTTTTGTAAACCGCTATTTCCTCCAAGCCTGTTATGCCTTTTTTCCATCTGTGTTGAAGCCTCTTTTCCCAGTGGGGCCTTTCTTTCTCAACTTAGTCATGCTATGTGTGGAGACCCACATCCACACTGCTGGCCTCTCTGACTCATCCCGCGAGGCTGGTTTGCTCCAGGGAATCCCGTTCACAGTGCAGTGGAACAACAGGGAGGATCCAGTGAAGAGAGCCCTTTCTCAAATCTGCCTCTTTCCCTGGCAACTCTCCCTCTTGTCCAAAGCTACAGGAGAAGGAAAAAAAAGGAAAAATGCCCTCTCCCCTTTAAGGTAATGTGATTAGCAAAAAGTTTTTAGCAATTCTAACTCCCAGTTTATAAGGTACTTTTGTTGTTGCTGGGGCTCTCAAAAACTCCATAATCTGGCTAATAGAAAAATCTGTGAATGCTCCAATTTTCCTTTTTCCTCTACCAGCAAGCCAAGCAAGTCAATTCTGACAGCTATACTTTCCTTCCAGTTACAGATGAAACTGTTCCCCCTATTGAAATGCATTATTCATAACTGTGAACAGTCTCTGCGGCTCCTCCCATCCATAGATGGAAAGCAGGTGGGTGGGTGGAAATTGCTCATCCACCTCATTGGCTGCTCTGAGGTTGTTCAGAACTTCAACTTCATATTCTCCCTAGAGGCCAGGATTTTCCTTGGCCTTCCCTGGCCCCTCAAAGAAATCCTTTGCCAGGAATGGCTCAAATCCATGATTTCCCAATCCAAATGGGTTCAGACAATAAATTCCTCCCACTGAATTTGTTAAAAAGGTCAAAGTTGAATAACATCATGATAATAAAAAACTGACCACTGTGTCAGATTCAAGTTTGGCCAATAATCCAGACAATTAATCTATTTTCAATGCCACCAAGCACATCCTGAAAGTATAACAAGGAACCATAATTCAAACGTCCTGCTAGCTCAGGGCAGGCTGACCCAGGTCATCACTGAAGAGGCAACTTTTCACACCTAACTAGAAGTATCCAGAGGCAAAATCAAGAGGTGGGCATTATTTTTGGTTTTATAAATTGGATTACTTCTGCACAAGTGCCACTTTCTTCTATTTAGAATATCTTTCTAGTTAAAATTCCTAGTTACCATATCTTTCATATGTACATACAATATCACATAAAATTTATAAATATATAACTTTTGTCAGTCCTCAGCATTTCTATCATTTTTTATTTTTATTTTTAAGAGAATCAGTTCAGGTTATTTTAGCTGGAGGAACATGCCCATTCTGACTCTTGCCTTTGGCACAATTATTTTATTGCTTTAATTCAATGTGCAAAGGGGACTCATCATTAGAATTTCAACCTGAGAATGCAGTCCAATCATCCTCCCCTACCAAGAAGTGTGGGCCCCTCTGTGATTGAGGTCAGGAGGTTTATTTGTCAGGAGAAATGTGTAGTTACGCGAACTCCTACAAAACTCCTTTTAGCTAAATTCCAACTGAACTAACCAGCAGGAGGAAGGAGGGAGATGTGACATTTCTGAGGACCACAGGAGTTCCCACAAACCAAGCCCAGAAAACGGTGTGTGTGTGTGTGTGTGTGTGTGTGTGTGTGTGTGTAAGTTAGAGAAGGATGCACAGCTGCTTGCCAGAGAAGGGCAGTGGGCCCTTGACAGCGGCCTCCCGCGGGCACATCGCATAGTCTCTGGCCAACTGGACTTACCTTGACCACGTCGTCGTTGAGATGCTTGGGGTCGCGGTTGACCAGGTCGATCTCCTTGGTGTGCGCGTCGTACACTTGCTTCTCGTTCATCTCGTCTGCCATGGCCTTGTTGTTGGGCTTGTAGATGTTGCCCTGCTCCCGGATGGGAACAGTGTAGAGATGTCCCTGCGGAGGGCCAGAAGGGGGAGGGTGGCAACCGCGATTGGAAGAAAAAAAATCAAAAGGAAAAACAAACGTCAGAAGTCAGCCTGGCGGCGGAGCAAAACTCGAGCTCAAAATCGAACTAACCGCTTGAACAGCTACTGCTTCGCTCACAGAAAACTCCTGCGCACTGCAAGCTTTTTAAGAGGATCGAGGAGAGGACACCACACCCCTCGGTACCAGGCAGGGAGCGCCTGCCTCCCCCGCCCGCCACCAGGGGTCAGGGCGAGCCCCGGCCTGCGCCCGCCCTGCCTGCGGAACCCGTGGGGACCACCGGAGAGGACGTCTACCTTTTCTTCTGACCCTTTTTCAGCCACTCCACCCTCGCCCCTAGTACTTCACCTGCTCCATTTTCCTGTCCCGGGCCCACTACCCCTGCCCCCATAACCCCTTCCAGCTTTATCCCTAAGATCCAACTGAATCTCCTGAAGTGTCCCACATTCGATGCTTCTTGGCTGCGTCCCCCTCGCACCTGCCGCCGTTCCTCACCCCTCTCTCTACTTTGTATCTCCATGGCTACCCCACCCCACTTCCGCGATGGTAAAAATCCCGCATACACCTACCTCTGGGAAGAACCATATGCCAAACCCCCTAAACTCCCTACAACTCTATCTCACCTGCACGACTGACCCGACCCACCCTCAGGTCCCTTCCAGGCTGCCGGTGGGTAGCTGAACAGAGGCTGCGTTTGGGAAAACGTGGTCTTCACACCCAGGCTGAGCCGGAGCGCGGAGAGACGACTGCGGGTGGGGGTAGCTGGGGGAAGGGAGATTCCTCCCACCCGCAATGTGCACCTCTGCACACCTCTGCAGCCTTGGAGATAGGGAAAGAGTTCTTGAGATGGCCCAAGAACTTAGGAAATCGCAAACACTCGTGCGCCCGCGCGTCTCCTCCCCGGCCAGCGGTCCAGACGCCTGGCAGGGACTGTCCTAAGAACTAAGGGTAAATGACCCCCAACCCTGCGCTCCAGTTCCCCGCCTTCCACACCGTAGCGGATAGATTTCTGGGGCCCCGTGTCAAGGGAGCACCCTGGACCCATCCGGGAACCTGCCTTCGGCCGGCAGATCCAACTTCAGGACCTCGACCCCCCTTTCCGTGGTCTCCTTACTCAGGGGCTCCCTTGATGCCCTCCCCAATAGGAAAATATAAAACATTCCTGGCTTCTTTTCACCTCCCCGCCCAGGCCCATTCCTTGGCGGTGCCAACCAGAGAGGAGTGCTCCGAAGTGGAGAGGGCTAGGGCGAGAAAAGCAGCCGGAATATTTGGAGTGGGAGATAGTAGAAGCAGGCACTCCACGCGCACCCAGGGCCGGCGCGCCCACACCCAAGCCTACCTCGGAGTCTACGTATTTGCCCCCCGACATGCTGCCGCGTGGCTGGATTGCAGGCTGTGAGGAGGTTTCCCTGGGCTGTAATTTAAGGGAACTAAGGAAGGAAGATCTTGTATTGTATGGGGGGGGAAAAGGCGCTGGCGGGGGGCGGTGGCTGGGAGGGAGCCTCCTGGCTGCCCGCCAGGGGTTTGTTCTGTTCGCAGTTGGCCGGGACGTGCGCTGCGCTGGGTCTAGGCACATCCCCAAGGTTCTGGCAGCAGAGGGCGGGGAGCGCCCACAGCTAGCCCAGAGCAAGTGAGAAAGCCTTTCACCCGCGCCAGGCTGTTTGGGCAGATATTTTAGACCTGGGGCAACATTTTCCCAGCTATGAACCGCGGAGAGGCATCCTGGGGAGGGCGAATATTTTCGCCGTGCATCATCTCAGCAGGGGTGGAGGAGCCCAGTAATCTAGAGATGCCCTGTATGAGCAACCGGGCGGCAGATTGTGTTTTGCCCTGTGCTAAAATTTTTTCCCCTCACCCATGTTTCATTGCCTTCTAAGACACTTTTGTTATCCTTTTTCACAGAAGAAGAGATGAAAAAAGGCTCAGAGCCTTTAGGTACATTTCACATCTAAACACGAGGAAGGAATCTGTGTGGGTGCCTGTGTGAGGTATGCTTTTGGTGACATCCAGTCTGTGTGGATGGAAACTTGGAGACAGATGCAGGCACGCAAAATTGAACGTTTCTCATTCGCTTCTTCCGAACTCTTCGAAAATAGTGGAAATGTTTAACTTTGCTATAATTTTATTACTGATCTTTTCTGGAACAAAAGATATTCATACTAACAGGTTATGCCATATTTATTAAACATATTGAATAGTTACATTTGTAGAAAAATTTAATTAGAGCCTCAAGTTTAATACTAAGGAGGGTTTACTTTTAAAAATGTGCTTGGATGTAAGCAGAGATTTGATTTTTCTACAAAGTGACTAGATTTTTTTTTTAAGTATTAGCAATTAAAATGTCGGTTTTTGAATTTGGGATCCCTCTTTTTTACTTTATTAAAAAGCAGCACAAGAAAAATTAAATAGTGATCAGTGATTTTACTTTTTTTACTATAAGCATTCAGAAAATTCACTAATCAAAGGAAAGGGTGTTTTACCTAAGGATCCATATGCAAAAACTTGAAATAAAAAACTGAGGTACCCATGAAGTCTCACAGGTTAAATTTAAAATACTGGCTGTCCAGAAAGGGGAATATGAAATTGGAAAGAGGAGATGAGAAGAAGGAATAGAAAATGGAACACTAAAAATATTAATTATCTAGTTGGAAAGAAGACATAAAGATGAGGGAACTATAAAGGACAGGCTATTGTTGATAGCAAAAAGGCAATCCATTTTTTGAATTAATTATTTTGTTAAACATATAACAATTATACACATTAATGGGGCACAGTGTGACAATTCAACACATACATACGCCATGCACTGATCAAGTCAGGGTAATTAGCATTAAGTTTTGTTAAAAAAGAAAAAAAAGGATCAGTTTTAACTTGGAATGGCAAAGAAAATGTCAATGTCACAACCGTTGGAAGACTTTGTGCCGGCTATCCACTTTTAGAAGACAAAAGCTGTTCTAAAAATTGAGTTTTCTTAGTTACATTTCTTCCAAAGTGCCTTTCTTAATTCTTTGAACGAATGGTGTGTTCCCAAAGGATTGCAGCTAGTTCAATGTGTTACGAAGTACCTAGCTCACCTCTGAAGATTGTTCAAAGATTGCTGTTTGTGTGTAAATATTCTTTTATAAATGAGTGCTGCAAAGAGTTGGGTTCTGTTCTATGGAAAAATGTGGACACCATTTCCCATCTATTGTTATTCAGTTTTCAGCTATGATGAGTAATCTTAAATGAAAAAGTCAACAGGAATGCAGAGAGAGCTCGTCCTGCATTCCAGCAAGGAAAGGACTTTCTGGGGAGGCCCTTGAGTGAATGCTTAACCAGTACTGGGCAGAGGGAAAGCAGCTTTGCTAGGGAAGCCCAAGTCAATAGAATCAACAGCAGCACATGTAATCATAAGGATCAGTGAAGCATTGTCAATGCCAAAATGAATTCCTAATGAATGGAAAAATCACACACTGTTTAAGTAACCTGCCTCAACAAGAAGCTGGCACCCAAAAGAAACACATCCTGTTCTGGATATAATAGCTGACTTGGAGAGAGTTCCAACTTCATGAAAAATAAAGATGAAGAACTTTGTTAGCATAGGTACAAGATTTGAAATGAATAGAGGATGTAAACAATTTTTTTCTTTGATACCCACACAGACAACTAGGCTTGGAGGCAAGTCAATAACTTTCTCCGAATCATTTACTAAAATGGGTAGATGGCAACTCATTTTCCCCCTTTTTTTTCTTTTTTCTTTTCAGAAGCAGAATTAAAAGTCAGCTCACGGATTATATGTGGTTAGAAATAAAGAAAAAGAAATAGGACCCAGTTATCTAAGCCAACCATCTGAGAGATGAAAAAGCTAAGGTTTACATACAACTGAAAGTATTTGTTCCTAAGAAGTTTTGTTGAATAATGGAACATTTTGAAGTGGATAAATAACTGATACAACCTGTTAACTTCTGGGACACGGGACTCTTTAAGTAGGCTAGTCAGAGCTGGCTTGTGGCAAAATGGTGAATTTAGTTACTTCTGTTTTTCCTCTCGTTTCCTGCTCCTTGTTCCCTTCTATTGGCCTTGTTTCCTCTTCCCATTCCTACTATCATGGTTCTTTTCATATCTCAGCTAGCTTCGTCTCATTCTCACTTTAGGATTGAAGCCTAAGTTCTGACCACTTACACTGCTATCAATGGTTTTAGGAAGCAGGCATCTTTTCAGCACTTCCCAACACTCAGAATCCTGTGACCCCCCCTTACCCCCAAACATGTCTTTGTCAGTGAGAGCCTCCTACCTCAGCCTCCGAGTTGCTGGGATTATAGGAGTGCACCACTGTGTCCAGCCAGAAAGGGATTGTAGTGTGGATTATAATACAGGTTATGTCTAGGTGTGATGTAAATCTTATTTTTTAACAACCAGTATGGCAAAGCTGGTCACCAGTCTAAGGTAGCACTGGGGCTTGCCTTAGAATACTCTGGTTAGTTGCTGAATCATCAGGAAGTTGGGTTCCCTCAGGAGAAGGGCAGGGAGTACATGTCAGAAAATTGACTGTTTACACACAAGTGCATAAATGGGTCGATATTTTTATAATTTCTGTGTTCAGCTGAATATTCATTCTATTTATCACCATCACCCCCTCATACAGCTGTTCCTCTTTTACCCCCATCCACCAATTCCACAGAGGCCTTCTTCCCATATCTCACCATTGTATATACGGAGAGTAATGGCTTTCTCACAGAAGAGTTCCCACATCACCTGAGCTCTTCCTACCCCTGTCTGGTTTGAAGGCACAAATAAATTCTTCCTTTGGTTGGGCCCTCCCATTTTGAGTATTTTAAATATTTTTCAATTTATTTTCTTCAAAAAACATGCAAACAACTATTACTATATATTTTTTAAAAGTCTTCTGATCAAGATGCCTAGAGTATACTATTTCCATACAATTTCTTTAAGCTAGCTTAATTTTTCTTATTTAAAATGGAAAATGTCATTGATTTCTACTCATTGGGGCACTATGAGCATTTTTTAATGAGATGATACAGTTAAAGCACTGAGATTACTACCCTAATTATGATAAATGCTAGGGATAAGGGAACACATTTAAGTCCACAAATTTAGGACATGACTAAACATGTATTTCACAGTATTTTAAATCATAAAATAGTTTAACCATCCAAAATATAGCAAATAGTAGGAGGAACACCTACCATTAAGTCTGATCAGACACAATCATTTTGCCTTCTTTCTTTTCTTTAGGGGAGTATCAGGGATTGAACTCAGAGGCACTCGACCACTGAGCCACATACCCAGCCCTATTTTGTATTTTATTTAGAGACAGGGTCTCACTGAGTTGCTAAGTGCCTCGCTTTTGCTGAGGCTGGCTTTGAACTTGTGACCCTCCTGCTTCAGCTTCCTGAGCTGCTGGGATTACAGGCGTGTGCCACCTTGCTTGGCTTGCCTTATTGCTGACTTGCTTTAGAGTTTTCTTAATAGAAAACATCATAGATGTTCTAAAAGTTCTTTATGACTGCAACTTTCTGTTTCTATAACAGAATCTGCTTTCTTTTCCATATCCTCATTCTTTCAGAATCTTCATCTCAGTCAATTCCCAGTTTCTTCCATTCTGTCAGCATCACATCTAAATTCCAGGGACTTATGAAATGCCCAGGGATCTCAGGATGGGTCTGTGGAGGAGAGTTTCCTATTTCACTCTGCATCTTGGCATCTACTAATAAGCACTTCAACTTGTCTATTCTGAGACATTAGTTCATTTGGAGACCAAAATATTGTCCTTCATGCTTCTTTGATATGTCCTTTGGACTCTGCTATAGTTTGGAACTAGTGTCCTACAAAGGCCCATGTGAAAAAGGCATAGTCCCCAGGGTGGTGCTCCTGGGAGGTGGTAGAAACTTTAAGAGGTGGGGACTAGTGGGAGGCCTTTAGGTCTTTGGGGTATGCCCTTGAAAAGAATCGTGCTATCCCAGTCTCTCTCTCTCTCTCTCTCTCTCTCTCTCTCTCTCTCTCTCTCTCCCCCCACCCTTGGTCATCAGTTAACTAGTTTGGCTCTGCTAAGTCTCTCACCATGATGTGCTGCTTGCCACAGGCTCAAAAGCAATGGGGCCAAATAATCAGGGATGGAAATCTCCAAATTAGTGAGCCAAACTAAACCTTTTCTCTTTATAGGTTGATTATCCCAGGTGTTTGTTACAGTGATGAAACGCAGACTAACACAGGACCAGAGATGCTTTCTTGGTCCCCCTGCCTCTTGTTTGGGGCTCTGTGGAAATCTGATGAACCTGGGTGGGCAGATCTGATGCAGTATCATGGAGACTCCCATGGCAAGTGTGTTACAGAGAGCAGCCAATCCCTAAGAACTGCTGTGGTACAGAGAAACTTTAGAGTGTTGCTACTTGAGTGGAACTTATCCAGAAATTAGATATGAGGTATCCCCCCAAAAGCTTATGTGTGAGACAATGCAAGAAAGCTTAGAGATGAAATGATTGGGTTATGAGATTCTTAACCTAATCAGTGCATTAATCCACTGATAGGGATTAACTGGATGGTTAACTGTAGGCAGGCAGGGTGGGGCTGGAGGAGGTGGATCACTGGGTGCGTGCGTTTCGGATATATATTTTGTCCTTGGTGAGGGGAGTCTCTCC